GCACTTGTTTAACCAAAAACTTGTTTAATAAGATGTCAGCGCTAACATTTTCTGATTATTCAATAAAAGAAACATCAAATTCCAATCTTTTGATTCAACCGCTTACTCTAAATCGTTCATCACCACCTGCAAATTCATCAAACAATCTTCCTTCCCTCCTTTCGAAAATTATTTACATTCGTCCAATCGATTCAATTTCCAATGAGGAAGTTGTCCAGTTTCGTTTCGTTCCAAGTGACAGCAAAGAAGACATAAAAGAAGAGATTTCAAAAGCATTTAATCTCGAAAGGTTTTCACTTCGGGACGACAAGAAAAATATTGTGACTGGCAGCTGGGATTCATTGGTAAGTGGCCGTTATTATGAAATTATCGATCGTGGTGAATCGAATGTTGTTGACAGGAAATGGAAGAAATATGTGGATTTTGGTCCTAAGCGTGTTGTTGACGAATTCGAGTATACCGAAGAATTACCATCGGAAAGTTATGAAGAGGATAAAGGAAGAAATTTGGATGGTAGAAGTATTAATAATAAAAGGGTAATAGATATTGATTGCTATTGTTGTTATAACAATTAAGATATTAATATAAACATGATTCAAAAATTTAATACAGGATACTACAATACAAGAAAATGAATCACGAAAGAAGCGTAAAAGTCAATCACACTTAACTTCTACTCAATTTCTTCTCGAAGTAAAGCAAAATGACCAGCAGCAGCATCAACAATTGTTAATCCAATCTCATCAAGAACCTACAGAATCACGAATGTCAGTAAGACGTGCTTTGCTTACACCGGAAGATGTAATTGTCCGTGATAATATGATAGAGTTTGCTGTCCCATCAGCGAATCACGATGTTTTCGAAGAGTTCGACAGTGGGATTTTTGAAAACACTAATAATATTAATAGAAGAGCTGGTGCTAGTGGACAAGGAAAACAACCTTCGAAAAGAGTTGTCAGGGGTTCAAGTCGTTCTGGACAAGTCAAAGCATGTTCAAGATGTAGAAAAGGGAAGAAAGGATGTGATCGTAAGAGACCATGTGAGCGCTGTATAAAAGCCGGAATGGAAGATTCTTGCGATACTGGCGAGCCAAGAAATGATAAAATTTCATTTAAATAATCATTTAAATAAGCTGATAAATTTCATTTAACTAAGCTGATAAGATTTCACTTAAATAATCATTTGAATAAGCAAATAACTCTAAAATCAAGTATATAAAAATATAAGAAAAAATTGTAAAATAAGTATAAATTCAAGCTCTACAATCAAAGTTTTTATAAATTTCTAAACAAGATCTTGGCTTTTCATAAGTAGTTCGTTTTTTTCTTCTTCATCTCCTTTAAACTCTTTTCAACTTAAAAATAAGTTAGATTCTTTCTTCACCTCTTTTAAATTCTTTGAAGGTAAACACCAATTTAGAATGATAGAAAAAATCTATTTTAAGATCATCAAATTTATAACTTTCAGCTTCATATTTTTATTGTTAAATTCTAATAAAATCATACCACTGTTACGAAAATACATCACCGCTATTCTAAATCTAAAATTCGCAAATCGGCCTTTATTTCCTAATATTTTGTCAAAACTAATATAATTGCGTAAAGAGAATCTTTTACAAGGACGTCTTCAAATTTACGGTTTAAAAATATTTAGAATTTCTCATGGAATTACTTTTCTCTTATAATTGTGTCATGCTGCTGATACATCCAAAACTTTAAAAAAATGCTGGCGCAATTTTTATTCATTTACATTTAATATAATCAAACATAAACAAAACTCATTTTCTATATTGATAATGAATTTATGTTGTCAATGAAATTAATACATAAAGATAATACATATATTGCACGAGTCTCATGTACAGTACAATACATGTACACGTAATATTTTGTGACTTGATTGTTTCATGTTGAAGATGATTTGTTGATTTATATATATATTAACAACTACAGGAAAAATAGTTTTACATTCGATTATTGGATTAGATATAATATACATTATAACGAATATAAGCATATTCTTTTTCCTAGCTTAAACTTGTTTGTACAAGTTTTGCCACTGGGTGGCGTTAAATTTACTTATTAATAAAAATGGCGTCGGATTTTTTCGTATAATTTTCTCGATTGAATAACGAGAACGGTAAGATGCAGAATCCGAAGTTTTTGCCGGAGCGTGAGAAATTTTAATGTAACTATCGATAAAACCTATACTGATACGTGTTACCTGATTGAGATTCGAAACAGTATACATATAGATAATAAATCACCGCCGTAATTTAATAATTACCGTTGAAACAATGTATTTTTTAATTGTTCATTAATGTACCGACCAGCCCTTTATATCAATGGTTAATTGTGCCTTATTGTATCCTAAAAAAAATTTCACGATAGATAATAATCATAATTTGCATTTGCAGATAAACAAATTAATATAGTGCCTATATGGTAAATTTATATCTCTTGATAAAGAATATTGGCTTTGTTTATTTTGAAATATATACCACAGAGAATCATTTGTAAATAATAAAAAAATAAACATATGACATGCTTATTTATTTCATATCAAATAGAATAGACAAAAAGATGCGAAATATGTAGATACTTTAGCGTTAGTAATGCTTTTCAACTCGACCCCAGTTTTGTGACACGTGATTATTATGCATATTGAGTTGTCTTTGTTCAAAATGAACAAATAACATATCGATATGCATATCATGCACAATTGCACCAATCAGAGCATCTCTCAAATAAATATAAATTTTCAATTTGATTGATAACAAAAATCGATAAAGTTGGTTTCTTTGTTCACGTAATAGTTTCATATGAAGCATGAATAAAGGTAAATTTTTTATTTTGAAAGGGTTTTTTAATCAAATTAACGCGTGACCAATAGGAAGGTCATTAGTAAATACATGTAAGTAACAACTGAATTGTTGTAATACAGGAAATTATTTAATAATATATGTAATCGAAAAAAATTTAGGACAAATACATGAAAAAGATTGCTTCAGATATTGGCACATATACAAATAATTTTTTTTTCTATGCAAATAATTAGTGTGTTAACTGACAAAATATTAAAAATTTATTGTTTAAGAGTTTGATATACGCAAAAATATTAGAATTATAAATTATAATTGATACTGTCTAATTTTTTAATAATACATGTAACACAGTAGGATACATTAAAATAAATTTTTACGGATACATGTACATTTATACTAACGCTAAGAATACACATGCACAAAGTGACGATCATTATCAAAAAGATAGCTGCG